ATAAAGAAAAAAAGCAATACAGAGCGCGGTGGGAGGGCAGGAGACGTGCCCACTGACGGACACGGCGCTGTCCACGCAGGAAACGCCAAAGAAAGACCCTGCTGAGCGCGTTTGCGTCTAGTCAGCGGATTTCCCGAAGGCGCAGAGCACAAGGTCGATAAACGTATTTCTAGATGCTGCCGACAGATAACGGGAGGCAGGAATCTCAAAAGGACCGTTTAGAACCCCAGGAAACCCACAAAACACTCAAGTAGACACGTCACAACATCCGGCCGGGACAAAGAGGCCGTAGCTACGGCTGACGGACGGCGCCCGTGGACGGGGCCACGCAGGGCGACGAAGCGGGCAGCTGGGCCCACGGCTCCGTCCACTCGGGAAGATCTCACTGAAAGTGCTAATTTTTTTTTTTTTGAGACGGAGTCTCGCTCTGTCGCCCAGGCTGGAGTGCGGTGCTGTCATCTTGGGTCACTGCAACCTCCGCCTCCGGGCGCAAATGGTGTTGCCGGCACACTGTCGTAAAACGTTTAGTAGAGACAGGGCTTCGGCATGTCGGCCAGGCTGGTCTCCAACTCCTGACCTGAAGCGGTCCCGCCACCTCGGCTCCCAAAGTGCCGGGACTGCAGGCGTGGGCCCCCGCGCCCGGCCTCCGCAGAACGTTTTGTAGAAGCGGCTACTTTCACATAAAGGCAAAGAAGCCCGCAGAGCCAGCACGGGTCGGAACGGCAAAGGACTGAGGGGCTCAGGACGGGATAGCGACCGTGGCCACGTCGCTCCCCACCCATGCCAGAGTCCAACACGCATTTCCACGGGGAGGACGGGCTGAGTCTAAAATTCTAAAACGGCCCCGACAGCCCCACGTGCCACCGGAGTCGCAGGCTTCTCCCGCAGGAACGGACCGCACACGGCTGGCTGCTGCCACCACGCCCAGGCCACCCCGGGGCTTTGCAGAGGCGGTGCTGGGACAGCTGGACACTCCGAGGACAAGGGGAGCCTCCCTCGGACCTTCACACCCCACGGGAACGGTTACTCAACTGGACCTTAGACCCCAGTCAAAACAGCAAAACGTGGAGGGGAAATCTCTGGGTTTGCGCTGGGGAACGAGTTCTCAGACAACACAGCAAACACTCAGCTGCAGAAGTCACACGCTAGTCAGCGCCACTCCGTCCACGTTCACAGCACCGCGCGGACACCACGTGAAGACGGCGAAGACACACGTCAGAAACTGCGGAAAACGCCAATGTCACAGATAAAGGGTCTGTGGCCCGAGGACCTGTGGAAGCCTTCAACCCGGGGAGAAAGCAGTCGGCCCGGACGGCCTCCTGGGGCCTCCAAGGCTGGAAGGGGACAGGGGACCCAGAATGGCCTCAGGCCCGGGGGAGGCCGGCAGCCACCGACCCCGCAGCCCGCCCAGCAGATGCCAGCCGTGGGCTGAGAACACACGTGCACAGGGAAACGCGTCTTCACTCGGCCTCACTGTTCCTCACCTGGTATGTGAAGCCTGAGAGCCAGGATCACAGAACTCCACACGGCTGTCCCCTCCTGTCACCGTGTCACGTCCTCCCACCCCTCCTCACTGACCCCGCATCCCCCGTGTCCCCTATCACTGCCGTATGTGTCCCCTCCTCACCGCCCGTGTCCCCTCCTCACTGCGCCCGTGTGCCCCCCACCGCACCCCCGTGTCACCCCCACCGCCCCATTCCCCCCCCCCCCCCCCCCGCACCCCCGTGTCACCCCCACCGCCCCATTTCCCCCCCACCGCCGTGTTCCTCCTCATCGCCCCCATCTCCCCCTGCCGCCCCGTGTCACCCCTCAGTGTCCCCGGTGTCCCCCCCCACTGCTCTGTCCCCTGCAGGCACTCACCCGTCCTCCCAGGGCTCTCCCGCAGCCTCCTCGGCCACCAGGATGTCGTACTCCTCGGCCGCATACTTCTCCCAGTCCGAGAGTTCGGAGCTGCTGCTGTCACTGTCCTGGAGGAAGCGCGCATGTGAGGGACACGCGTGTCGCAGCCCAGGCTGTCTGCCCGTGTGCTGAACACGAGGTTCTCACACTGTGACACCAGGGCCTGCAGTGCTGGCCTGAGTCACAGAGTCAGAGGAGGGGGGAACCCTGGCCTAGTCCTGCCTCACAGGGATCTCACCAGTTCGAGCCTCTCCCCAGACATCTTCCCCCAGTCTGTCCCCTCCCTGGCCGTCGTCCTCCCCATGCCCTGTTCTCTCCTCCCCCACCTCGTCCCCTGTCTCTCCGGGCAGTCCTCCAGTCCCCCACCCTCCCCGCCTGTCCCCTCTCCCCAGGCCCTTCTACCCCTCCACCGTCCATCACCT